AAATATGTATTCTTTTTAAAAATATATATTTTATTGATTTTTTTTACAGAGAGGAAGAGAGAGGAATAGAGAGCTAGAAACATCGATGAGAGAGAAACATAGATCAGCTGCCTCCTGCACACCCCCTGCCAGGGATGTGCCCACAACCAATGTACATGCCCTTGACTGGAATCAATCCTGGGACCTTTCAGTTCGCAGACCAATGCTCTATCCACTGAGCCAAACCGGTTTTGGTGTTAAATATGTATTCTTAAGTCTAGAGCTATGCTTTGGAATTGCTGGGGGGAGGTGTTTGTTTGTTTGTTTGTTTTGCTTTATTCCTGAGGCTGTCTCCTGAGTCAGGTAATATTTCGGGGCTGGGAAGAAGGGAGTATGCCATGTTGTTGTAGTTTTTAAACCAGACTTCATTTTTTAGAGTAATTTTAAGTTCACTGAAAAATTGAGTGGAAAGTATAGAGTTCCCATATTTTGCTTATTTCAGCACATGCACAGCATCCCCTAACTTCAATATCCTACATCAAAGTGGTACATTTGTTATAATTAATGAACCAATACTGACACTATTTTCACCCAAAGTCCATAGTTTACATTAGGGCTCACTCTTGGTATGGTACATTCTATGGTTTTGGACAAATGTATAATGACATGAATCTATCATGATAGTATCACAGAGTAGTTTCATTGCCCTAAAAATCCTCTGTGCTATGTGTATTCATCTGTTCTCCATTTACCCCAACCCTTTGCAACCACTAATTTTATTTTTACTATCTCCTTAGTTTTGCCTTTACAATTTTATGTAGTGAGAATCATACAGTATATACTCTTTTCAGATTGGCTTCTTTCATTTTGTAATATTCATTTAAAAATTCAGCTATATTGAGGTATAATTGGCACATAGGGTGGGGACAAAAGTAGGTTTATAGTTGTTCATATGGAAAATAATACAATAATTAACAAATAGCAAGAATAAACTGTGTTTCTCATACCCAACAACTGTATACCTACTTTTGCTCCACCCTGTATAAAGTAATGTGCATTTAATAGACCTCCATGTCTTTTCATGGCTTGATAGCTCTTTTCAGTGCTTAATAATGTTCCATTGTCTGGATGTACCACAGTTTATTTATCCATTAATCTACTAAAGGAAATATCGGTTACCTCCAAGATTTTAATAAAGCTGCTATAAACCTTGCCAGTTTGGCTCAGTGGGTAGAGTGTCAGACTGCAGACTGAAGGGTAGTAGGTTCAGTTATAGTCAAGGAAGGGCATGTACCTCCATTGCAGGTTCTGTCTGAGAGGCAACCAATCGCAAGTGTCTCTCTCACATCAATGCGTCTCTTTTTCTCTCCTTCTCCCTCCCTTCCTCTCTCTCTAAAAATCAATGGGAAAAATATCCTTGGGTGAGGATGAACAAAAAATTAAAAAATAAAGCTGCTATAAACACTCATGTGCAGAATTTTGTGTGGACTGAAGTTTCAGCTTCATTAGGTAACTAGCAAAGAGCACAATTCCTGGGTAACATGGTAGAGTATATTTTGTTTTGTAAGAAAATAGCACATTGTCTTCCAGAGTGGCTGTACCATTTTTCATTCCCACTCATAATGAGTGAGAGTTCTTGTTGCTCCACATCATTGCAGTATTTGGGGTTTTCATTGTTCTGGATTGTGACCATCCTAACAGATGTGTAGTGGTACCTCATTGTTATTTTCATTTGCATTTCCCTGATGACATATGATGTGGAGCATCTTCTCATCTAAGTCCTATTCTTATTTGTATTCCCCATAAATAACAGCATTATTATAAAAGCATTACTCAGTGAATTTTTGTTGAATGAGGGCAGCAAGGTATAGTGGCTAAGCCCTGGCCTTTTAGAAACAGAAAATCCAGAGCTCATATTTGCTATTTTCCTGCTATCAACCACAGGGACATCACCTATCCTCTCAGAGCCTCAGTTTCTCCTTTTATAAAATACAGAATAATAAATAGTATCTACCTTAAAGGTAGGACTATTTTGTCTGTCTCTAAAAGAGATAATGCATATAGAATATTTGCCACAGAGCTCAGCAGAGAATAAACATATATTAAATAGCTGCTATCATTAGTTAGTTACAGGTATTTTTGAATTAATACTATCATATTTATGTAGATGATAATGATTTGCATTCTCAAAGATAATTATAAATCATGCCCCGCAGACCATGATGCCATGATGAGAGGTTGGGATTTTACACACACACACACACACACACACACACACACACACTCTCTCTAGTATATCCATATACAATAGATATGATGTCAAATGTTATTGGCTTTTAATGAGTAATCCTGATATATATATATATATATATATATATATATATATATATATATAGTATCCATATTATATAAATGGATTTTGTCATATATTTACATAGAAATTTTCTACTTTCAAAATGTTAGAGCAGAGACTATAACAAACTGGCAGTGAATCTGAAACCATCTGTTTGATAAAGTAGCTAGAAGGAAATAGAGGCTAGGCTAGATTTCCATTTGTATGTTAATGATTTTAGTTTGCCTAGTTTTTAGAAAATCCAATGTTCAGGTCAGAACTCCTGGCTGCCAACCTCAAAAACTCTCTCTAGCTAATTAAAGCAGAAATGAATTAATTGGCAGGATTTTGGTAGGTGTGGTGATGGGAGCAGTTCACAGAATTACCAGGAAAGCTAGAGCTCCAGGCTAATAAAATTGCAGCAAACACAGATGCAGTCAAAATGACCACATTACTAAGGGTGCTATCATAAATAGTCCCGGTGTTTCCAGATCGCCCACTGTCGCAGGAGTGGGCTCAGTTGCCTCCAGCACTGACTGCTGTAACCCCTGGGCTCACAGTTCCAGCATGACTGCAGGAAATAACCTCTGAATGTCTGGCTTGGCCACTTCTCCTGGATGGCACATCTGGTGAGCCAGGCTTGGTTACACGTATCTCTCTAGCTGCCTTGAGGAGGGGAGAGGAAAAATCTGCTCCCTGCAGTTTCTGCAGGGAAGAGGCAGATCCTTCTTCCCCCCTGCCTTGGGATTACCCATGCTTCCCGTAAATAATCAGTAGAGCCACCAAGAAAGAGAGAGGCAACTTTAAAACTGTACCAGATAATAGACATCTCCTTCTCCAAACTTTTCCCACTCTGAGTGCATATAAAATAACAGCAGTAGCATTTCCATCCCTTTTGTGTAGATAGAACTTTCAAGAGAGCCCTTCTTTCTCAGATACATTAATGATGGCCAGTAAAGTAACCACCCATGGTTCAGCAACCTTTCTATAAAGCATGATAATGTGATGAAAAGAGTTGCTGTTGCCAGATTCCTATTGATACGCTCAGAAATGAATCCTTTGGAGCCCAACGGGTGGAGTCAAAACCTCCCTCTTGAAAGGGGCAGCAGATGGTATTCTTTGCCACCCCTGACAGAATAACGGCTGGAGGAAGCAGTGGGGCTCCATCTGGGAGAGAGTCTGTCTTCTGCAGCCAAGCAGTCAATGTGTTTGCAATCTTTACACTTTCTGTGATGCTCTTGAAGAAGCTCACATTGTGGAAGGCTGGAAAATTCCAACCAGGAAGAACTTTACCTTTTCATGTTACTTCAGAGCAGATAGAGTGACTCTGAGAACCCAAAGGAAAAAAGGTAGCAGGGTGGAGTGGTGAGCATATATCGAGAAAGCCATACATTATTCAGTAGAAAGAATGAAAAGGTGGATGGATGTCAAGCTCTGATATTTGAAAATGTTGGTGGCCAAAGAGTTTATCCTCCCTCCCAATCTGAACCACAATATTGAGCCAGAAAATGTGTTCATGACTATTTCCATGACTCTTACTCAGCTACAAGTCATTTCCCCTTTCTGATTATTTCCATTTTTAAGGCTGAATTTCTTTTGCTTTTTGATCTTCTTCTTTTAAGACATTTAGCCAGTATCATTATGGGTCAACTGCCAGGTTTTCTTCCAGGGCTTTGAATGTGTCATTTATCCCTTATCCCATGTAAGTGGATTATGCCTGTGGCTAGCTGGTCACAGGTAGACAGGGTTTCACTGCTGGAGCAAAAGAAAGGGGGCTTCTTATTAAAGGGTGGAGTAGAGATTATACAGAAAAGTAATAATGTGATTGTATATCTATTAATGAATAAGAAATTATGCGACACAGTTGAACATGAATATTTCAGCATCTACAATTATATGGGACTCCCAAGATAAATTTGTTTTTAAGTGTTACGATATTTACTACCCACTGAAATGCCCTTTTTAATAGTCTCGGTTTAATTCTTCATTGGAGTTAATGAAAACATTATTCTGGAGCTGGATCCATTTGACATAAAAATTTATAAGTGGTTTAATGGTACTTTGTGTTTTTCACAAAAACTGCTGATTTTTTTTGTCTTAATTTTAAGCTTTTTAAGGGAAAGAATTGTGAAATATTTCCCTTTGTATTCCCACAGCTCATAGTGCTTAGCCCACACACACAGTCACCTTTGCCATTTTCCTCCTAATTGTGGTGCAGTCGGTTGGCCTTACCTGTTAGTCTCACGCTCACATATCTCAAAGAGTCAAAGATTACACTTTCTCATTGTTTCTAAATCAGACCTAAAGTTTTATTCTAGATGATGCAAATGAAGGTGCTTATTAAAGTGCCATTGTGATTTAATAATGGATGCAGTGCTAAAAATCATTTAATGGGTGCACAGCTTTCACCACCCACACACATCATGATAAAATAGGGCAGAGTTTTGCACTTGCTTCAGCAGTATCGCCTGCAGAGCAGTTCTCATTCCCATCCTTCTCTCTCACTTAGAATTTCAACTTTCTCCTAATCAGCTGCTGCATCATTAAACAGCATGCCGTTCTGTCTTTGTGTTCCTGAACCTACGTGTCTTTATTGCAGACTGCACATCTTTGTGGCAGACACATGCTCTCCGATGAATTAAATCCAGAATATTCATTTATCCCCAGAATATTTCCACAGTGCCTCCCTCCCCCTAAAAGGGGGGGAACTTCCTTGCCCTTCTTCTTCAATGCCGTTCCCATCGCAAGATGCTCCGTGGAAGAGAGCCGAGCAGTGGGCAGAGGCTGAGTCCCAGATAACCAGCGCCTCACATTTCCCTGGCATTTCCATTTGCTGGTGCGCTGCTGTGGCCGCACGCCTGATTGATATATGACTGCAATGGCACTTTTCCATTTGACATTCTCTCTCTCTCTTTCCCTCTCTCTCTCCGGCTCTCCCTCTCCCTGTGTCGCTTAAACAACAGTCCTAACTTTTGTGTGTTGCAAATATAAAAGGCAAGCCATGTGACAGAGGGACAGAAGAACAAAAGCATTTGGAAGTAACAGGACCTCTTTCTAGCTCTCAGAAAAGTCTGAGGAGAAGGGAGCCCTGCGTTTCCCCCAAGGTAAGCAGGAAAACAAGCGCCGACAGCTTGCCTAGAAAATGACTCTTTCCCAGCCGAGCATTTCATCCTCCTCTCCGACAAAGAGACAGCCTTGAAATGCCACTTAAATTTGCATTAATTTAATTTGCATTATTCTGTAGCATGCTAGCATTGTGTTTTTTAAACGAACGGGTCTTTGAAGTCTGTGACAGAACAGGGGAGCCTCACAGAAAGGCTAGGCTGGGCACTCTCTCTTGCTTTGACTTAAACAGATTTAATTTTCAAACTCTCTGCTTAGTTGGATGGAACTTTGCAATGGTTTTTGTATTTGACCCTGTGAAAGGAGACTGAGAAGCAGCAAGTCGCAGACATGGATTCCCGATGCCCCAGTATCTTTCCCACTACCCTCATCCCTCTTACAATGGGGCACTCTTAACGAAGGCAAGCCTTCGAGTTTAAAAGTGCACTGTTTACTTTTATTACTACTTATGTATGCTGCTGATCTCCTGCCAGGACTCTGCCGGAGTGCTTAGAATGACTTCAAACAATAGGCAACATTTATTTCCAGCTTTCTGTGTCATGGTTTGCAGGAATCCGTTGCACTCTTCTCCCAAACTGCAAAGGCTTTGCTGCCATAGATGCAGTGAGGAGCGCAGTGGAGAAAGGAGGATGGATTTACTATATGCTTTTGATTGGGCAAAAATTCCTAGGAAATGCATGCTGTTTGACTTGGCCTTATTGCAGAGGGTTATTTTTAGCAGGACCGATGCTACACTGTCTGAGCAGTGGCCGAGAAAGGATGCTCTCACCAGCATAGGGACCGGCACCTATAGCAATGACTCACCTGAGGAATATTTGAAGGGTTCTTTCAGTCTCCTGAATACAAGTTCTCTATTTAAGTGAACAATTGGGCTGCAGTAGGCCTGTGCATGACTCTTTCTTGGGGGACGGGCAGTGTGACTGTGTGCAGAATGCTAATGACTCGGAATGCCCTGTAAATGAAGCTCATTGTAATCAAGGAGCCCAGATAAACCTGTGTGAAAGAGGCAGCCGCCCCTCGGTACTGAGATCCAGGTGCAGGAAAGGAAGCTAGTATTTGGCAAGATGAGAGTCCCAGGTTCTATTCTTTGCAACTGTCATTAATAACAAATATGGATGCTATGAAACATGTCTCTTTTCCTTCTGAATATTAGTGAATTTTAATTGCAATGTTCTGGCATTGTCCAATTGCTCCAACACATAATATTGAATACCAGGTGCATTTGAAAACATAGAGATGCCTAAAAGGCAGTGATGGTTGTGGGTGTCAACCAAATATAGCGGGGGGAGGGGGAGATAGACTGCAGATCGTTTCTTGATTGTGTCTTTAGATCAAATGCAAATATCTGTCCATTTTCTTTTCACCAGTTTGACTTCTAAAAGTAACTTTAGGATTCTACCAACCAGTTTTCATTGTGGAGCAGAGACATTGGAAAGCTTTCTGATTTTCTCTAATAACTAGCCTATCAGGTATTATGAAAAGAAAATCTGACTTTTCAATGAGTTGATTTATAAGTTTGAGATGCTCTCTGTTTGAGAAAGCCTTTAATCATGGTATGGATTCTATTGCTACACACTTTAATGGTGATTTTTAAAACTGCTGCTGTTAACAAATATTTTCTTAAACTATTATTCAGGATTGTTACATAAGAGTGTCTGAACACAAAGCAATGTTTTGAGTCATATACTTGAAAATACATTTAGTTCAGGTAAAGGGAAAACTGATTGAGGCCTTCTTGGTGACTCTGTACTGAGCAATTGACACCCACAGATGGAAACATGCCTTTGTAGTTTTCAGTTTTAATTTGAATTCCAATCACAAGGAGAAAATTAATATTTTCCAATATATTTAACAATTTCCAACTTGTTTATTTTCTTGGGTCCTTAAAAAATGTGGTGAGTTTCTCAGAATTATGGCTACCAATAGTGGCTGGCAATTTTCCTCCATTTCAGTAACTCACAATTCAAATATTGTTATTCTTATTGGTTAATTATTCATTCCATCATTCTCCTAATGGATTATTCTAGTCCTGACGAATGCAAAGGTGGATGAGACATTCTTCCATGCGAGTGGGTAAACTGGGCGATGACTTTCTTATTACAAGGAACCATTTGAAAAATCTGCTACTATTTAGATTTACTTGAAATGATTGCCACTTATCAATGAGTTTTCTTACCATTATGATTAAGGCCTGTTAGGCCTTTATCACTGGGTTCTGGGTTCACATCACTTGCGTAGCTGTGATGGCCTGTATCTCTCCTGCCTAGGTAGAAGAAACCTGGGGAAAAAGCAGTTAACCCCTTCTTTGCTCCCTTGATCACTGTTTAAATAAAGGACCACGTGCTGTGTTTATCTTGGATGGTTGTGCATCACCTACTCAGAAGCTGACGTGAGGGCTACTTGATGAATCACTGAATAAGGAACATGGACAGAGGAAGATGTAATCACTATCTCCCATTATTTACTTGTCCCACCCCCAGGATCCAAACCAATGACCTCTGGGCCTGGCCTAAATTCAAGAGGCCCCTGGGAAGAAATTGCCAGAAGTTGTGCTCCAAACCCACACAGTGTTGCTTTTAAATAATCCATTCTCATGTTTTCTGATGTGGGTAGGTTACTGGGAAAAAACCCTCAAGACAGCATCACCAGGGTCTTTGATTTGGTCCTTATCAGTAGATAACCATCCCCACCCCTGTGATTGGATTAAATATCTCTGACTCCCTGCAGTGCCTGACTCACCCTAGTCAGCCCTCAGCTTCTTGGCCAGCAGCCTTCCAGCCCATCCTCACCTCTTCCCATGAATCAGTTAGGGCTATTTTGTCCAGAAACCCCTGGCTGGGCCAGTGGGAGCCAAAGGGATGGGGAGGTAGGTGGAAGGACTGAGAAGTGCTAAAGCAAAAGGAAGGTGAGTAATGTGAGGGTGGGTGAGCTTCAAGACCCAGGTTTCTGTGGCCTGCCATGGCTGATCAGCTGTCATTTCCTCTTCGTGTATGACACTGTGCAACATATTAAAATTTCTCTGGGATGGTATGTTTGGAATTCCTCTGATGCCCCACCTCACCAACTTACCCGGACAATAAAAGCAAGGTTGTAAGCCTTTGAACAGCTGGCAGGCTATATATTTCCTCTCTTTCTTTCACATAATCTAATTCCGAAAAGAATCCAGCTAGACTGGCAGTGCCATGTCTGGGTACTTGTTTCCTCTAAGTGCTTCCTCCACCACCTCCTCCCGCCAGCCCTGGAATCTTCCTGGGTGGCATGTGGCTTTTCTTTCTTTCGCTCGCCACCACTCCCACCCCGCCCCCTCTTCCCTTTGCCTGAGCTCCTTCCATTGTGAGCTTGCCCTTTGCTCTGCCCTTCCTCACAGCCTGGGTTCTGTTCCTTGAGGTCTCCCCATCTCCATAGTATTCCCAGGATGTCATTCTTGGCAGCAGCTCTGCAGGGCTGAATAGCATTGGGGGGCTTTTGGAGCCTTGAGCCTGAACCCACTCACAGAGAGAAGCAGCCACATGGCTCGGCTGCCCTTTAGGCTGCTGAGAGCAGGGCTGGAGTGACCCGGGCTGGCAGGGATAAGCATACCATCACAGTGACCCGCACATCTCTGGCAAAGGGCTGGGGGTGGGAGTGCTATGGGAACGCCTGGGTGCACTTCGGCCTACATTAAGAGAAATGTAGTTATTCTCTCTTTCAGAGGGAGAGAAAAGTGACTGGAAACAAAGCGCCCTGGATTCTTGGGCGCTGCCCTGCCCTGCCCTGCCCTGCCCTGCCCCCCTTTCTCTGTCCTTCCCACATGCTCCTCATCCCAATGAAAAAGAAGGAGAGATGGAACTTTTAATTTAGCTAGCATGGGCCTGAATGTCTTTATGAAGCCCATTCGGTGAAAGGGAGAAGGAGGAATGGATCCTGGGTTGAGCTGAACTAAAAATGCATGGGATTATGGAGATAGGCTTCTGTTTTGTTTTGTTTTTCCCTTCTCTTAACACAGAACAACAGATGGGTTTGTGAGCTGCAAATGGAAAAAAACTGGACTTTTTACTTAGACTTTCACATTTAAGAGCCTCAAATAATCCCCTCTGTGCAGCATCCCTCAAAGATGCTGCTAATGTCCTTGGTACCAAAAGGTATTAAATAGCAATCTACAATGCAGCTTCCTACTCCTTTTCTTTTCCTAGGGGCTTTGGTAGTCTTTCTGAATTAGCTAAAGTTCATTAAAAGGCCCCAAAGAAAAAAAATTAACACAGCTGAATTAAAATGAGTCCTTTCCTGTTAGCTTGACAAGGGGGTGGGGGGAAAGAAAGAGAAAAGAGAACCAAACTCCCCTCCTCTGCCACTTCTTGGATTTTAATATGAATTATTCCATACAAGTCCCTAGGCTAGAGGATCTATTTAAAGACGCCTGGCAGCATGAAGAGAGAGGGTAAAAATACAACCACTCTTTTGTCCATCAAAGGTTTTCTTTGGGAGGACATTAAGAGCATTCTTATTTTCCTGTCTGCCCTGCCAGTGGCAACATTCCAGCTGGTAGTACCCACTCCTCACCCATCAGATCAGCAAACATGAGCCTCTATGTTTTATTCCAACAGAAAACAAAGAGTGGGGAATCCTTCTGAACCCCCTATGTGTGTACAGCGGGGTGGGAGAAGCTGGTACTGAAATGAATGCTGGTTTGTCTGTGCAGGTTGCATGTGGCAAATTCACATGCCCACACATTTGAGTTTTTTAGGAAGATTGTGCCGATGGCATTATTTTGTGGTGCCAACTGCCCTCACATCTGCAAAGCTTTTGTGTGTGTGTGCCTGCCAATCGTTTGCTTGGTAGCATTCATGCTTACTGTCCCCTTCATCAGAGTCTGATGGATGAACATATATTGCTGAGAGTCACACCCCTTAGACCCATTTTCAATAGTCAGAATCTAACACCCTGGATAGGGTTCAAAGTCTGGAACAACTGCTTTCTTGTTAGAAAGAGTGCTGACTCAGAA